AACAACAACGCAAAAGCAGCAAGAAAGGTAAGAAAAGCTCTGGAGACATTAACAACATGAATGAGGAAGAGTTGAAGAAACAGGTGTGGAACTGCTTGGAGAGGAAAAGGTATCTTGTGGTGGTAGATGACTTGTGGAAAAGGCGGGATTGGGATGAGGTGCAAGATGCTTTTCCAGACAACAACAACGGCAGCAGAATATTGATAACTAGTCGTTTGAAAGAGGTGGCCTTGCATGCTGGTGATGATGTTCCTCACTATCTTCAATTCCTGAGTGAAGAAGAAAGTTGGAAGCTGTTTTGCAGGAAAGTGTTTAAGGGTGAAAATCGCCCTTCTGATTTGGAGACCCTGGGAAAGCAGATGGTTCAAAGTTGTCGTGGTTTGCCGCTCTCCACCATTGTTTTAGCAGGACTGCTAGCCAAGAAAGAAAAATCACAGAGAGAATGGTCTAAAGTGGTAGGTCATGTTAATTGGTATCTGACTCGAGATGAGACCCAAGTGAAGGATATAGTTCTGAAGCTCAGCTACGACAACTTGCCAAGGAGACTAAAACCATGTTTTCTCTATCTTGGCTTATTTCCTGAAGATTTTGGAATACCAGTTACGCCATTATTGCAAAAATGGGTTGCGGAGGGTTTCATACAAGATATAGGAAATAGAGACCCAGATGATGTTGCGGAAGACTACTTGTACGAGCTCATTGATCGTAGTTTGGTAGCAGGGGTGAAGTTGAATGGACGTTTGGCGATGTGTCAGGTTCATGATCTTCTTCGAGATCTTTGCATATCAGAGAGCAAAGAGGAGAAAGTGTTTGAAGTTTGCACAGACAATAACATTCTAATCCCTACCAAACCTCGCAGACTGTCCATTCACAGTGACATGGGTCACTACATTTCTTCAAGCAACAATGACCATTCATGTATTCGTTCCTTGTTTTTCTTTGGGCCATATTATGATGTTGGTGGGAGACAGTGGAAATGGCTTTTGGACGAGTGCAAATTGGTTCGAGTGTTAGACTTTGGATCTAACTCGTGCCGAAAGATCCCTTCCAATTTAGGGAACTTCACCCACCTAAGGTACTTGAGAATAGAGTCAGGTAATATTATTACATTTGTTCCAGATTCAATACTTAACCTTTGGAATCTAGAAACCATAGAGTTGAGTAATTGGTGGCCTTATAACATTGATTCAATTTCTTTTCCTGTTCAAATGTGGAAACTCAAACATTTAAGGCATTTGAGTGTAAGAGGATCTATCGAATTGCGAGGAAGATGTTCAGAATTAGATGAGAAGATGTGGAATCTTCAAACTATCTATTGTCTTGTACTCAATGAGCAAGCAATATCTCTAATAAAGAAAGGAACATTCCCCAATATTAAGAGGATGGAGATTAATGATGATGAAGATGAATTACCTAATTTATTGCAAAGCTTAGAACTATTGAAGCATTTGAATAAATTAGTGATTTATACAAGAAAACCTTTCTCAGAACAAGTGACTCACATCTTCCAAAATTTGGAAACAAACGGAGTTGAAGTTGTTATCGATTACAAAGAACAATACTTTTACAGGCCGTGGGCCCAAATTTGGAAACGGTGATTCTGTCATTTACGCGCTAAATAAAACGTTGGGTTTTAGTAAAGTCTTTCTCTCTCTGATTTCACTTTGCTGTCTCTGATTTCATTTGACTCATTTTGTCATTCACTGCACCATTTCATTTTCGAAGAGGAAGCTTTGTGCTAAGGTCGGACACGATGGAGAACGCAAGAAGACTGAAGAGGAAGTGTTCGTGCTGTGCTAGGTCTGTATTTATTTAAATAAATATTGTATTGATGTTAGCAAATCTTAGTTTTAATTTTTAGTAAAAATGATTAAACATTATTCATTTAATGCTAAGTCTTAAATTGTCTGGTTAAACATTTTTGAAAAAAAAAATACTTTTTCATAATTTGCTAATGTATACATATTAAGTTTAACCTTAAAATTTGAGTAATTTCAATTCAAAAATCATTTAATGTTATTCTATACATACCTATCACAACTTTTGGACAACAATGTCAAATTTTATCAAATTTAAAATAATAGATTTAATTTGCATGTGTTAATAAATTAAGATAAATGTTAACTTAAATGAGTTGGAACTTAATCTGAACTAGAAAAATGAGAATTGTATTGTATTATCTATATATGACAATGGAGTCCGTAACATATATAGTTATAAATCAAAGTTGAATGAATGCATATCACGTTAGAATAATGGAAAAGGAATTGAAGAGTACTTGCAATGTGTTCAATAAAATGAATAACCTACGATGACATTTCATTGTTCATGTGTTTTAATGAAAAATTTAAATGAATCTAAATCCAACGTTAAGTAAAGATAAAAATATTAAACAATATATAAGGTCATAAATATATTATCTTATGTTTTTTTGTTAGAAATGTCAATTCCTTATTTAGATGAAATTCATATCTCATTAGTATTGTTCTGTCTTTTTATAAATCTTTTTCCAAATTCTTGATCGTATTTGTGGTTTGAAATAAATGTATTAGAAACTTAAAAAATATGTTATCACATATTTATCTTTTGTATTATTGATAGTTACAACACGATCAAATATTAGATTTATTCGTCTCTGACATCCATTATTTAAATATATGAAACTCTACCATGGTCGTTCTTTTATTATCATTTTCTCATTTATATATTTATATATCTAAACAATTAAAAAATATGATATTTGTTGACTGACCATTTTAAATATAAAACTTCATCCCCTTATTTAAAAATAAAATACGTGTACTAAAAGCACTATATTATATACTAAAAATTATAATTGTCTTTCTTTCATTTAAACCTTTTAATAAATTTAGTTTGACCTTCTTAGTTAACCAACATAAATTAATCAACATATTAAGTATACTGATAAATTTTGATATTGTATTTGTCGGATATATTAGTGATGAAAAATATGTATTATAATAAAGTATAGAAAACGGAGGTTGAAGTGGCGTGTTTGCAATTTGATATAAACAAGTGGCTGTATAGATTAACTACTCACATAATGTGAAAAAAAGAAAAAAAGAACAAATCAGTCTCTTACATATATATATAATTTCTATTACGTCTAATATCATAAATATAAATATTCTAAGGTAAATGAATACAAGGTGCAATGCACATAGCAGGAAGCTTTGACTAATATGACATTATATATATAAATATAATTAAAATATGTATATAAGAAAGACTTTGCTGATTATATTAATCACAATAGAAAAAGACTTCAACTATCACGGAGTAGAATAACATGAAATATAATTTGAAAAATCAATACGTGTACACATATAGTTTAATATAGTGTAGATGACTTGACATTGATATAATTTAATATAGTGTAATGATTTGACAAAGAATAATCACTAGTGCAACAAGAGTAAATAGTTTTTTTTTATAGGCAGCGGTTTTACAATCGAGACATATTTAAACGAAGTAAAAAGGTGTACATTTTATGCCTCGGTTATGAACCGCGATGTAAAGGATACGATTACGCCTCGGTTCATTGTAACCGATGTCGTAAGGTTTTGTTTTTTTAATTAATCCTGCTACACTCTTCCACCGTTTCGAAACCAATCACACAAACATAAACAGAACCCTCATTATTTTTGTAAACTTGATTTATCTGCAAAGAGACCAAAAACCCACGATTTCGTTCAATTCATAACAGGGTTAAAGCTGGATGATGAATCTGTACGAGAATCTGTGTTCGGTCCTTTGTGGTTCACGAGTCCATAACTGAAAAATTGAACAACAAAAATGTGCATGTTAGAAGATCAAGAAAGAGATTGACAGTGGAGGGTTTTATTTGAAAATGGTGTTTTCAATGTCTCTGGATCCAAAGAGAAGACCAAGACAAGATCCAAAAAAATTTCACTTACCAAGCCACGGATGACCACTGCTGCGACCGTGGGAGCGACTACGGCAACAGAGACAATCCGCCACGACGGTGCAGCAAGAACCCAACGAGGAGGCAGCGGCAGCAGGAACACCACGCGACGATGGCGGCAGTGGCAGTCACGTTGTGGACGTAGAGGGGAGGTAGCGGTGGTGACGTTGTGGAGCGAGGAGACAACGGCGGTGACGTTGTGGAGCGGATTTGGAGCGGCTTGGCGATTTGGGCTTGGCGATCTGGAGCGGTGGATCTAGAGGAGGCAGCGGCGGCAACAGTAGCGGAGGCTACAGCGACGGAGGCTACAACAACGAGAGAGGAGAAGAATGGGAGAGCACGGAGGGGAAGAGGGAGAACGCAGAGGGGAAGAGGAAGAGCGTGGAGGGGAAGAGGGAGAGCGCGGAGGGGAAGAGGGAGAGCACGGAGGGGAAAAGGGAGAGCGTGGAGGGGAAGAGGGAGAGCGCGGAGGGGAAGAGGGAGAGCGCGGAGGGGAAGAGAGAGAGCACGAGAAAGAAGCAGTCTTTGACTGTGCAAATGTACAAAATGTGCAGATTAAAAAATCAAAACGTGTGTATAGGCAACGGTCGTCTGACAACCTGAGGCAATAGGGCCTTTTCAGAGAAAAAGTGTGCTTAGTACAGAGGTATAGGTTTTGGGTCTTCTTTTAACCAAGGCAATATCACCATTCTGCCTCGGGTCAAGATGTAACCGAGGTATATAGTCTTTTACGCTTCGGGTTTTGCGTAACTGAAGCGTATATGACGCGTTAGATTGCACTTTTTTTACTAGTGAATAGTGATTTAGTATGATTTGTTTAATGTTTATATAAAGAAATGATTTATATAAAATTTTACTGTATTATCCATTTTTGTTAGATTACTAATTTGAATATCGGAGTGTCTTTTATATATATTTATCTAGATGATTTAGAGTTCAAACATTATAAAAACATTAGAAGAATTTGATTAAGTGTGTTCAAAACAACAAAAACAGATAAAAAAAAAAATGTAAATGAGTGTTTGGTAGTTGAATAACATGAAATATAATTTGAAAAATGAATGTGTACACATATAGTTTAATATAGTGTAGATGACTTGACTATTCTTTGTTCAATGATTACCTAAAAAAAATAAGAGAAATACGTTGATGATTTAGCACTGTTTATACAAACTAAATTGGAACAACCATACGAAATATTAAAAGAAAAATCTAAAAATTGTTTGTAGGAAACCTTGACTCAGAAAAATAATGCAATACAATTAACTGTAAACGGAAAAATTGATTGAAATTCGAAAAGAAAGTTTTCCTATTATCATAGTTGAAATTGAGAAAAGGTTTGAATGAACTACATTCAAATATTTAAACAACTAATTTTAGACATTTAAAAATATAAATATTAATGATTATAGTGATTAGTTTAGATAATAATTTATAAATAAAAATTATTGGTTTTTAAAATAATTACTATTAAAAATAAAAAATTATAATTAGTAATTAGAGCTTAAATTAATCATTGAAATTAACTATCAAAATTTTAACTATTTAAATTGATCAGTAATTAATATATTAAGTCAATTTTGGTCTTTTATCAATATTAGTATGAGTTTTAGTAAATAAATTCATTTATTGTCTTTAAGAAACTAATATGTGTTATAATTTTTTTTTGTCTTTTAATTCTTATAAAAAGTTTAATTAAATTCTTAATTTTTATTTGATTCAATTAAGTTTTTTTTATATTAACGTTAAATTTTTTGTAAATTTTTTTATATTAAATCATTCTATCTAATAAAATAAAATTAATTTAAATGTTTAAACTTTTAGATGAAATAATTTGATATATAAATGTTAACATATAAATCTAATAAAAAAGAGCTAATTATTTTGGAGAATGATGTTGATATATAAATATTGTTAGTGAAATGAGTTGAAGGTACAGTGCACATAACAGGAAGGCGCCTAAAAATTAAATATTGTATCGTAATAAATGGAAAAATAAAACCTCAAGTCTTCAACCGAAGTCTTTATAAATTCTTTATTGCAATCGCTTTCCATAATATATATATTTGGACATTCTTTCGTATCTGGCTGCAAGCTACACTGTGTTGCTTTTTCTGGTACCTTGTTAAATCCCTGTTATTCTTCTTCCATCACCAACCACAAATCCAGTATCCAAATCTACACGCTCGTCCACGCTGTAATGGCAGAGAATGTAGTTTCCTTTGTTATAGATCACTTAGGCCAGCTTGCCGCACGAGAAGCTTACTTGCTGTATGGCGTGGAGGACAGAGTCCAGTCTCTCCAGTACGAACTTCAAATGATCAAAGACCTCCTCAACACCACAAAGAGAAAGAAGGGAATGGAACATACTGTATTGAACCAAATCAGAGATGTGGCCCAAGTAGCTGAGGATGTCATCGACACATTCGTAGCAAAAGTTGCCATTTACAATAGGAGAACCGTTCTGGGGAGGATGCTCCATGGCTTTGGCCAAGCAAGGTTGCTCCACGACGTAGCCCAAAAAATAGACAAGCTCAAAACCACTCTCAACGAGATACGCGACAACAAGGACAAATATGATGCTTTCAGAGAAGCCACTAATCAATCCGCAACAGAAGATGAGGAGGAGGAGAAAAGGTTGCAATCGCTGCACAAGCTAAGAAGAGACGTGGAGGAAGAACATGCGGTGGGCTTTGACCAGGACTCCAAGGATGTCGTCAAGCGACTCTTGGAAGGTGATTCAAATTGTAAAGCTATCTCTATCGTTGGCATGGGGGGATTGGGAAAGACCACTCTTGCCCGAAAGGTCTATAATAGCGACCAGGTGAAGAACCACTTTGATTGTCACGCGTGGGTTTATGTCTCAAACGAGTGCAGAGTTAAGGAGCTTTTGCTTGGCCTTCTTAAGCATCTGATGCCAAAGTCTGAACAACAACGCAGAGGCAACAAGAAGGGTAAGAAAAGCGTCGAAGACATTAACAGCCTGAGTGAGGAAGAGCTGAAGAAACAGGTGCGGAACTGCTTGGAGAGGAAAATGTATCTTGTGGTGATAGATGACTTGTGGAAAACGCAGGATTGGGACGAGGTGCAAGATGCTTTTCCAAACAACAACAGAGGCAGCAGAATATTGATAACTAGTCGTTTGAAAGAGGTGGCCTTGCATGCTGGTGATGATGTTCCTCACTATCTTCAATTTCTGAGTGAAGAAGAAAGTTGGGAGTTGTTTTGCAGGAAAGTGTTTAAGGGTGAAAACTGCCCTTCTGATTTGGAGACCCTGGGAAAGCAGATGGTTCAAAGTTGTCGTGGTTTGCCGCTCTCCATCATTGTTTTAGCAGGGATGCTAGCGAAGAAGGAAAAGTCAAATAGAGAATGGTCTAAAGTGGTAGGTCATGTTAATTGGTATCTGACTCGAGATGAGACCCAAGTGAAGGATATAGTTCTGAAGCTCAGCTACGACAACTTGCCAAGGAGACTAAAACCATGTTTTCTCTATCTTGGCTTATTTCCTGAAGATTTTGAAATACCTGTTACGCCATTATTGCAAAAATGGGTTGCGGAGGGTTTCATACAAGATACAGGAAATAGAGACCCAGATGATGTTGCGGAAGACTACTTGTACGAGCTCATCGATCGCAGTTTGGTCCAGGTAGCAAGAGTGAAGTTTAATGGAGGTTATGAGAGGTGTCAGGTTCATGATCTTCTTCGAGATCTTTGCATTTCAGAGAGCAAAGAGGACAAAGTGTTTGATGTTTGCACAAACAATAACATTCTAATCCCTACTAAACCTCGCATACTGTCCATTCACAGTGACATGGGTCACTACATTTCTTCAAGCAACAATAATCATTCATGTATGCGTTCCCTGTTTTTCTTTGGTCCAGAGTATGATGTTGGTGGGAGAGAGTGGAAATGGCTTTTGGATGACTTCAAATTGGTTCGAGTCTTAGAGTTTGGACATAACAGGTGCCCAGAGATTCCTTCCAATTTAGGGAACTTCGTCCACTTAAGGTACTTGAGAATAAACTCAACTCGTGCTACATTTGTTCCAGATTCAATACTTGACCTTTGGAATCTACAAACCATAGACTTGGGTATTTTAGGGTATGACAGTCCAATTTCTTTTCCTATTCAAATGTGGAAACTCAAACATTTAAGGCATTTGAATACATCAAGGCCTATCAAGTTGCGAGGAGGATACTCAGAATCAAACGAGAAGATGTGGGATCTTCAAACCATCTCTCCCCTTATACTCAACACACAAGCAACATCTCTAATAAAGAAAGGAACATTTCCCAATATTAAGAAGATGGGGTTGTACATGGAGACCGACGGTTTTGAAGGTGAATTACCCAATTTATTGCAATACCTACAACAATTAAAGCATTTGAATACATTGATGATTTATAATGTCTTAGACCTTCTAACCTCTGAGGTCATATTTCCCCCAAGCATTACAGAGTTATGGTTATCTAGGATTAAGTGCATCACTGATGAGGGTATGAATGGTTTGAGAAATCACTCCAAAATCAAAATTTTGAGACTTTTGGGTGTTGAATGGTCTAAGAGTTCCATTGACCTCAATTGTGGGGATGGCGGCTTCCCACAGCTGGAAGTGTTGGAAATGAAATATTTGTCAATTCGAAAGTGCAAATTATGTAATGGTGCAATGCATAGACTTCAAAATGTGAGTATCCAGTGTTGTTAATATTTATATCATCTCGTTATTGGGTTTCAATCTTTAAAAGGACTGAGGAAAGTACAAATAACAGAAACTCCTTTAGAACAACTAGATCTCTTCTTACAAATTTTAGAAAGATATAATGGAGTTCAAGTCGTTAGAGGGTATTATCCTAAAATGTCAGTGATTGGATAAGTTTGAGATTTATTATACCAAATAGTTGGTTATTTATTTTATGGATGTATTTTAATAAAGTAAAAAAATGTAACAATGTGAAATATTAATAATATCTTAATTTTGACTTTTTAAATTTAAATAATAATTAGCTATATTTATATTTTTTAAATATTTAAAGGTTTTCTAAATATTATTTTAAATAAAATACATTGAATAAATATTTTTTAATATAATAGGGACATATAAAACAAGTAAAGTTTTATCATTCATATATTTATTTTCATTTGTATTTTATACCTAATAAGTTTGTTTTATTAATGTAAGTACTTGTATCTAGGATTATTATATCCATTTATTTATTATTTTACATATTAACTAATTTTTTTATAAAATATAAAAATCAAAATAAGATAAACATAATATTATTAATGATTTGTTGGATTCATATTTTTTTTACATTATCAAATATTAAAAATGTATCATAATTACATAAATACTAAATAAAAATAAAAATAACTATAAAAATAAGTAAAAATAATCAAATGTCAATCCTTAGTTAGAGATAATGTCATTTTTTTTCTATAAATCTACTCCTCCCAAAATTCTCATCATGTTTGTTGTTTGAAATAAATGTGTTAGGAACTTGAAAAAATATGTTATCACATATTTATCTTTTGTATTAATAATAATTACAATACAATCAAATATTATATATTTTAACTATATTGACAAAAAAAAAAATGTTGAAGAAGGAATGAATGATCATTTACACAGAAGATGATATATAATATTTGTAATCTACTTTTTAGATTTATTATTATTTAAGTTAAATAAATTATTATTATTTTAATATAAAATAGAATATCTGTATTGATATAGTTTTTTCATTTTTCTAATCATAGAATTTGGATTTAAGTCAAAATGAACGTTTTTTTATTTAATTTTAAAGTTTACGTTGATTAATAGAATATTTAACATAAATTTACGTCAATAAATATGAGACCAAACGTAAATTTATGTCTAATTAAACTACATCCGTGGTAAAAATTAGGATTAAAATACAATACCTTAGTTAAACTCATACGTCAATGTTTATCTCATAAGAAAAACTCATTTTTTATATTTGTTTACGTGAATTCATTGTCCAAGGTAAATGAATTTTGTTTTCTAGGAGTCGGATGTCCCATTAACCTTCTTTTGCAATAATTATTATAATAAATTTTGAATTAAAAAATTTAAGCACAAATATTTGGGTTGATTTATTCCTCTCTTACATCCATTTTTTTAAACATATAAACAAGTGGCTGTATAGATTAACTACATGTGGGAAAAAAAAACAAATCAGTCTCTTAAATATATATTATTCTATTACGTCTAATATCATAAATATAAATATTCTTAGGTAAATGAATACAAGGTGCAATAAACATAGCAGGAAGGTGTTACTAATATGACATTATATATAATAATTAAAATATATATGAAAGAGTTTGTTGATTATATTTAATCACACTAGAAAAAGACTTTAACTATTACGGAGTTGAATAACATGAAATATAATTTGAAAAATGAATGTGTACACATATAGTTTAATATAGTGTAGATAACTTAACAAAGAATAACAGTGATTCAGTATGATTTCTTCAATGTTTAATAATACCTCTCTTATAGTATCTTACCATTCTGTTGTTTTCAATGTGATCAGTGGATATGCATATTTTGGAGCTGAGTCTAAATAGATGTAACATCAAGACCTTGTTATTTTATCTTTATTTTGTAGACGACCTTCGTATAAATACTTTTGTATATAAATAACTATAAGGAAAAACATATTTGAGTGTTACATATTTAAATTAAAATGTTTTAATATTTTAAAAAAATTAGAGAAATATATTAAAAAAATTTAATATATTCTTAGTCAATCTCTTACCCATTCTCTGATATATATTATTCTATTTCATTTTATAACGAGGAAAAACTGAAGCCAGTTGTACTGTCATAAACATAAATATTCTGAGCCAAATGTGCACTTAGCAACTTTTAAAATGAATGAAGCTGTCACTATGCACTTCTTTCTTACGGTTCACGCCTAGTTAATGGAAAAATAAAACCTCAAGTCTTCACCCAAAGCCTTTGTAAATTCTTTATTGCAATCGCTTTACATAATATATATTTGGACTCTGTCGTATGTGGCTGCAAGCTACACTGCATTGCTTTTTCTGGTGCCTTAGTTAAATCCCTGTTATTCTTCTTCCATCACCAACCACAAACCTAGTATCCAAACCTACACGCTCCTCCACGCTGTAATGGCAGAGAATGTAGTTACCTTTGTTTTAGATCACTTAGCCCAGCTTGCCGCACGCGAAGCTAACTTGCTGTATGGCGTGGAGGACAGAGTCCAGTCCCTCCAGTACGAACTTCAAATGATCAAAGAGCTTCTCAATACCACCAAGAGAAAGAAGGGAATGGAACATACTGTTTTGAACCAAATCAGAGATGTGGCCCACTTAGCTGAGGATGTCATCGACACTTTCGTAGCAAAAGTTGCCATTTACAAGAGAAGAACCATTCTGGGGAGGATGCTCCGTGGCTTTGGCCAAGCAAGGTTGCTCCACGACGTAGCCCAAAAAATAGACAAGCTCAAAACCACTCTCAACGAGATACGCGACAACAAGGAAAAATATGATGCTTTCAGAGAAACCACTAATCAATCTGCAGCAGAAGAGGAGGAGGAGAAGGACAGGTTGCAATCGCTGCTCAAGCTAAGAAGAGACGTGGAGGAAGAACATGTGGTTGGCTTTGTCCAGGACTCCGAGGATGTCGTTAAGCGACTCCAGGAAGGTGGTTCGAATCGTAAAGTTGTCTCTATTGTTGGCATGGGGGGATTGGGAAAGACCACTCTTGCCCGAAAGGTCTATAATAGCGACCAGGTGAAGAACCACTTTGATTGTCACGCGTGGGTTTATGTCTCAAACTTGTGCAGAGTTAAGGAGCTTTTGCTTGGCCTTCTTAAGCATCTGATGCCAAAGTCTGAACAACAACGCAGAGGCAACAAGAAGGGTAAGAAAAGCGTCGAAGTCATTATCAGCCTGAGTGAGGAAGAGCTGAAGAAACAGGTGCGGAACTGCTTGGAGAGGAAAATGTATCTTGTGGTGATAGATGACTTGTGGAAAACGCAGGATTGGGACGAGGTGCAAGATGCTTTTCCAAACAACAACAGAGGCAGCAGAATATTGATAACTAGTCGTTTGAAAGACGTGGCCTTGCATGCTGGTGATGATGTTCCTCACTATCTTCAATTCCTGAGTGAAGAAGAAAGTTGGGAGTTGTTTTGCAGGAAAGTGTTTAAAGGTGAAAACTGCCCTTCTGATTTGGAGACCCTGGGAAAGCAGATGGTTCAAAGTTGTCGTGGTTTACCGCTCTCCATCATTGTTTTAGCAGGGATGCTAGCGAAGAAGGAAAAGTCAGATAGAGAATGGTCTAAAGTGGTAGGTCATGTTAATTGGTATCTGACTCGAGACGAGACCCAAGTGAAGGATATAGTTCTGAAGCTCAGCTACGACAACTTGCCAAGGAGACTAAAATCATGTTTTCTCTATCTTGGGTTATTTCCTGAAGATTTTGAAATACCTGTTATGCCATTATTGCAAAAATGGGTTGCGGAGGGTTTTATACAAGATACAGGAAATAGAGACCCAGATGATGTTGCGGAAGACTACTTGTACGAGCTCATTGATCGTAGTTTGGTCCAAGTAGCAAGAATGAAGTCTAATGGAGGTTTGGCAAGGTGTCAAATTCATGATCTTCTTCGAGATCTTTGCATATCAGAAAGCAAAGAAGACAAAGTGTTTGAAATTTTTACAGACAACAACATTCTAATCCCTATCAAACCTCGCAGACTGTCCATTCAGAGTGACATGGGTCACTACATTTCTTCAAGCAACAATGACCATTCATGTATTCGTTCCCTGTTTTTCTTTGGATCGGAGTATAATGTTGGTGGGAGAGAGTGGAAATGGCTTTTGGACGACTTCAAATTGGTTCGAGTGTTAGATTTTGGACCTAACAGGTGCAAAAATATCCCTTACAATTTAGGGAACTTCAACCACTTAAGGTACTTGAAAATAAACTCACGGAATGTTAACTTTGTTCCAGATTCAATACTTAACCTTTGGAATCTACAAACCATAGAGTTGGGTACTTATAGGTTTGAGAGTCCAATTTCTTTCCCTGCTCAAATATGGAAACTCAAGCATTTAAGGCATTTGAATACATCAAGGCCTATCAAGTTGCGAGGAAGATGTTCAGAATCAGATGAGAAGATGTGGAATCTTCAAACCATCTCTCTCCTTATACCCAATACGCAAACAACATTTCTAATAAAGAAAGGAACATTTCTCAATGTTAAGAGGATGAGGTTGTACGCGAACATCTTTGGTTTTGAAGGTGAGTTACCCAATTTATTGCAGAACCTACAACAATTAAAGCATTTGAATATATTGATGATTGATAATGTTTTCAACCTCCTAACCTCTGAGGTCATATTTCCCCCAAGCATTACAGAGTTATCATTGTCAAAGATTAGGTGCATTACTAATGAGGGGATGAATGGTTTGAGAAATCACTCTAAAATCAAAATTTTGAAGCTTTTGGGTGATGATTGCCATGTGAGTTCCATTGACCTCAACTGTGTGGTTGTTGGCTTCCCACAGCTGGAAGTGTTGGAAATGAAATATTTGTCACTTGGAAAGTGCAAATTAGGCAATGGTGCCATGCAGAGACTTCAAAATGTGATTATCCACGATTGTCAACAATTAGATAATCTCCTAATTGATTTTTGTTCTTTGAATGTATTGAGAAAAGTGCAAATTTCAAAAACTCCCTTAGAACAAATAGCTCACATCTTACAAATTTTAGAAACAAGAGTTCAAGTCGTTAGAGGTAATCATCCACCTTGGGATGAGAGTGATTGGATTTTAAATATTTATTAGAGGTTTTAGATTTATTATAGCAAATAGTTGGCTATTTATTTTATGGATGTATTTTATATAGAGTAAAAAAATGTAACATGTGAAATATTAATAATATCTTAATTTTATCTTTTTAAAGTTAAATAATAATTAGCTATATTTATAATTTTTAAATATTGAAAGGTTTTCTAAAATTTAGTTTAAATAAAAGACATTAAATAAATTTTTTTTAACATAATAAGAACATATAAGACAAGTAAAGTTTTATCATTGATATTTTTATTTTCATTTGTATTTTATACCTAATAAGTTTGTTTTATTAATGTAAGTACTTGTATATAGGATTATACCCATTTATTTATTATTTTACATATTAACTGATGTTTTTTTTATAAATTCAAAATAAGATAAACATAATATTATTAATGATGTGATGGATTCACAATTTTTTTCATTATCAAATATTAAAAATGTATCGTAATTACATAAATATTAAATACAAATAAAAATTAAAATAACTATAAAAATATATTTATTATTTTACATATTAACTGATTTTTTTTTATAAAATATAAAAATCAAAATAAGATAAACCTAATATTATTAATGATGTGATGGATTCACTCTGACATCCCTAAAATATAGGTAATGCATATATAATAAAGACGTCATTGACTTATAATAATAGAAAGCAGTTGGAAATATATAACAGAGTATTGGGAATTACAGTCATCCTTAAAATGCTATGAAGCTAAACTTGAGGTATTAGAGTATTCCAAAATGTCATAGGTTCTACATATAACAGTTTTTCAAAATGCATAATTCAAGGTACAGATATCCTAATGATACTAGGATTCAGCATCCTCTTCTTCCAAGGCTTGCTCCAAGGGCACCTCCTCGACATCTGCTCCCATCCAAGTGGATGATCATCGCAAAAGAAAACACACCAACATAACATGAACACAAACAAGCAAGGGTGAGCTAATTATATAAAAAGCATACGATATGACAATATGTGCATGCAAGAGTTAACTTCAATCAAGCAAGATAAACTCGCATCCTATCATGTTAAGTACTAGACTTGACTCGTCCGGACTTTAGAATGATAGTCAAACTATGGCGGGTCTTGCACTCGTGGTGGCTTGTGAAACCTGGGCTCCCCCACCCTACCACACTCACGAGGTTAGTCTGTTCCGGGCCTTGAGGCATACTGGAAGCTCCCAAGACTAAGACCTCCTGCTACTTCTCACCACATGGTGCAATCCTCTCTACACGAGAAGAAAGACCATTGGAGTTTCAGGATGACCCCCAAGACTGAGCTCCTACTCTCATTCTAAACACTAAGAATCTCACCAAGAGATCCTACACAGATGGAACATGGTTTACAACTTGTATCATCTTACCACCACTTATAACCATACACTTTTTTTTTGCTACCATCCACATACTTGTTTGAATATCACAATACACTACTATAGATGCAATGAAATACTTCACCAACAACCAAAGAGCACACTAATCAAACGCAGCACAAGATGTAATTAGAGAACCAGACTCAATACTCGTCACACAGCGCACCACCCTCGCAGGGCGAGACAAGCGCTATTCGCATAGTGCACCCACCCAGATCGCCTTGCGAATTAAGTTTGAATAAGTATCAGACTTTGGGTCTCGCGCATAGCGCACCCAGGTCGCTATGCGAGAGTCCAGACAGAGACCAACCCCCTTACAACTCTTGTTATGCGCCCCACTCGCCTTTCGAATTTAATGGGCAGTGGTCCCAAACCACCACCAGTTGCATAGCGATAGGATTCGCCAGGCGAATCCACAAACAGAGAGCAACACCCTCTCGTAATTCGCACAGTGAATTACCCAGACAGTGAGCACCCTCTATAGGGTCTCGCTATTTGAGACAGCTCGCATAGCGACTCTGCATCATCTACAGAACGCGAATTTTGCAGAATCACACACTCACACCAGCCCTTACCATTTATAGGCCTCTTGGCCAACTTCTATGACCTCCAATTCATGTATTAAGCTCAATTACACCGGCCTAGAGGATCCTAACCCTCCCCATTACTAATCTAAAGTGATTAGGATCAAGTTTCATCTTTTAAAGCACCAATTTCTATACTTAAGGCCCAATTTCGATTTTACCACTTCTATCTTGTTTTTGACCATTTGAAAGACTCACCCAAGTCCCAAATGACTTACCCAAAGTGCCTGAATAGACCAAATGAACTCCTAACCTCTAATTCTAAATTTCACCACCTCACTTCCTCTAAAATTTATCTAAAACACTACCACTTCACTTAACATTCCACAACTAGCTACTATAACAGAAAACCATCACCTAACTTATCCAATTACAATTGCACAATATGTTCAAATCAGCTCACAACCAACATTCATCAGATTCAACATTAGTCATTCAAAGCATACATGATTTAACTTACACAAGTATTACATTTCAGCTCACACAACAACAACATACAAAATTTAATACACACACCTATTGAACTACCAATTCAAACAGAAGTCTAGCTCCCCTTACCTTGGTGGTTATAAGCACAACACTTTTAGAAGAAGTCCCGAAACCGTAACCCTCGCACAAAAATAAGTTCAACAGAACCTACAAACCACCAAATTGGGGTAGAGTACAGCTCTTAGAGCTAGAATAGGCAGAGAATAAAAAGGGAAACACTATCCAGCTGCATGCAACCAGTAAAGTTGCATGCCCTAGGTTCAAGAAGAGTGGAGAAACTGACTTACCCGTCCAAAACGAAAACTAATCGGATGGATAGGAAGCCCTCAACTCCGTGAGCGAAAGAACACCTCCTATAAGACAATGTAACGGTTGAAATTTGTGTGAGGGTAGAGAGAAGGCAGAGCAAGAAGAAGACTGAGTTTAGAGAGAGAAAGAGAAGCTGGCTAATGAACTCAGAGTTGGAAAATAAACAAATCCCTTCTAAGGTCATGGTGCCCTTAGCTTTACGGGCCTGGCTGCCTCAATCATAAGGCCCAACAGTCCTATACTTTCCAGGCTCTTACATTCACAATTTTTTTCATTATCAAATATTAAAAATGTATCGTAATTACATAAATATTAAATACAAATAAAAATTAAAATAACTATAAAAATAAGTAAAAATAATAAAATGTTAATTTAATGAGATGAGATTGAGATTTGTATGTAATTTGAACAAAATCATAAAAAAGATGTAATTAAAGTTGTGATAAAATAATCAAATTTTTATCTTAAAAGTTTTTTATTCAATGAATTTGAAGTTTTTAAAATACCATAAAAAATAAGTTTTTAAAATACTAAAAAAGTAAAAATAAATAAAAATGATGTAATTAAAACTGTAAGAAGATAAAGTATTTTAAAGATTTTAGTTTATTTTGAGTTACAAATAAACAACTAGCATTTTATAATTATAAAAAAAACAAATATGAAAACGAAAACAAAATAAATATATGCATACGTACATAATTAGTTTTAAAAATTAAATATTGTTTATATTTATACTGGATAAATGTCAGAATTCTCTATAAAAACTATAATTAACAATGAAAAAAATTATTCGTCTTTCTCCAACTAAGCATAATCTATAAATTACAAACTAGAGGACCTTTTATTCGGAGGATATTCTTTTAATTTGTTTTTACTATGATTATATATACAGTTCACTTTTGCTTTCTGGTTACTCTTCTGCTTTCCGATTTGTTATAAACTAATTAATTTACACCAAAATTTCTACTTTTTGTTTAACTGGGTTACCTTTTTATTACATTAAATATAATTAATATGTAATTCAAATATTTCTATATCACCCTACTAATTTTATTAGTTTAATAATAAATTTTAAAATTTTGAAACTTAAAGATAATATCAGTTCATATTAAAATATTTTTTAACTATTACATTAATTAATATAATGAAATTATTACGTGTACTTAAAAATGTTATCCAGTTGAACCACAAAACTCAGAAGAACATGTATGAAGAAGAAACATCTATTTGTTATGCTTAATATATTTTAAATCTGTTTCTTTGAAAAGTAATGCCGTTGTTGACAACCTGCATTGCTCTATTTAATGAGAAAAGAAAAATCAATAACATGTTTAAACATCATACATGGTGTACCAATAGGGACCGGACGTCAAATAGGCCGGACGTCCACGTAAACATAATGAACCAAACATGCTACCATCGTGAAGGGTCGGCCGGCTGAACGTCCGAATAAGCAGTTGCTCGCACGAAGCTGGCCAACAATACCACCAGCTATTCGGACTCTATATGGGCCGGCCGGTCAAAAGACCAAATCCCCAGTTGAAAGACCAAACTTCGAGAGGTCGGCTGGTCACGTTGCTAATTAATCAGGTTTAAGGTAATGAGTGGTTAGAGACTATTAGGCTGAATTTGGGTCGTGATTAACTTTTCACTATAGATAGGTTGCATTTACTGCGCATTTATTACTGTTCGATAGAGAAAGCCATTGCTCTCAAACTGACTTTGACATCGGAGAATTTTTCGCAGGTCTCCCACCCGTACACGGAGAAGGAAATTGAGAAACGAAGATAGAGGACTGAACATATAGAATACGAGCAAAGAAGGACGTGAAGACATTGAACGACGCAGCCCCTCACGTCCGAAACACATGAAATAACCCAAAAATATATTAAAGGAAAATCGAAGAAATTGACACCGAGAAGTAATACATAAATAATAAACTTAATTAAATTCTAAGTACTTATAAGTACACCTGTCAAATATGTCCGTATAATGAGATGTGAGATTAGATCAACCCATTGGTAACAAAAAGAATATGGTCAAAGCATTCAATCCACTGTCAACTTCTTTATTCATCACATACTTGTTTAAAAAATATCTATCCATTTCTTAAATTCCATAAATATTTGTGAATACTCTTGGTTAAAGAATGAAATGTATTTTATAAAATTTTAAATTAAAATATAAATAAAATTATAAAAGAAGTATAAAAATATAAATTTAATGAAATTAAACATAAAATCATTTTTATTTTTTTTGAATAATGATACTTGCGAATAGAA